TGGTGGTGGTTTTCATGTTGGTGGTGGTGGTGGTGGTGGTGTTGGCGGTGGTGTGATGGTGTTGTAGTGGGGTAGGGTAATGTTTGTGACCAAATATTGTAGTGGATCAGGATCGAGCTTTTGGTGTCTGTGACCAACTATTTGGTTCCCTATGACTAACTATTAAACTGTAACCTTAAAATTTGATTAGTTGTGACATAAAAAAGTAATTTGTGACCATCAAAAATGAAAATATGTGACTTGCGACATAATTTTTTGGATTTGTAAATTGTGGCCTTAAAATTCGAACGTTTGTGACTTAAAAAAGTAATTTGTGATCATCAAATTTGAAAATATGTGAAATGTGACCTATAATTTTTTGAATTTGTAACCAATTACATAAATTGTGACCTATAAAATTTTCGATTTGTGACCTTCACATAATTTGTGATCAATTAATTTTATTAATATGTGATCAATAAATAAATTGTAACCTATAATTATATTCATACGACTATTAATTGTATAAATGTGACCTCATTGTATTTAATTAATAAATATTTTTAATTAATTAGCTAAAACCTTATTTTTGCATTAGTTAAACTTAAAACCTGATTTTTGAATTGTGCATAGTTAAAACATGATTTGTGAATTTTTTCCTTTTTTTAATTCATTCTATTTGGTGCATGCTTAGGAAAGAAAACAAACTTTCTTAATAAAAAAAGTAAGTCCAAATCCAATTCTCTGGTCAAAACAACCCTCACAAAAAGCCCAAATCCAATTCTCTTCATCTGTTCTCTCGCTACTTTGAATTGCTCAAAATCTCTCATCAGTCGCTTGTAGTCTCACTGTAGTCAACGATTACTCCTTTGTACTACGTGATTGTATTCAAATAATTCATTTGCTACTTTTGGCAAAAACAAAATGATTCGACTATGTGAATATTATTCGGTAGATTTTGAGGTAGTAGATATCTTGAAATTTGATGATCATCTTGATGCATATATTCTTGACGTGCACATTGATGGAAATTTTGGAGGATTACAAGGTTTTAATGAACTTATAAAGAAGTTATGAAAAATAAATATCAAGTGTATTCATTAGCATACAAGCTTGTGTTATTGACCTTAATTCCTTCCCTGGCTACTATTAAAATTGAATCGGATGATCAGTGATTGAATGATAGTTTGATTGTACATATTGAAAATTATATATTTGAAAATATTGAAAATGATGTAATTATAGAACATTATCAAAGTATGAGAATGCATAGAAAATAATTATAATAAGATATCGCATGCTTTAATTTTTTCACAAATTTTTTTGCAAGTTTAATTGGGTCCTAACTCAAAATGCCTACGTTTGCCACTGCATGATGTTTACTATAAATCTAATAATATGTATGGACTGCAATATTATTTTGTATGTTATGATTATCTACAATACTCACTTTTGTTTCATCAAGGTGAAACTAGTTGGCACCATGGTGCTCAAACAGTTGATAAGGAACAACAATATTGCGTGAATTAAGCCCTTTTTTGTACACATCAATTTGTTTCAACTGAAGGAATAATTGCTAATGAAGCAGTGATATCTTTTTGATAAGTTGTTTCCATTATGTTGTTGTTTCTGTAGATTTTTGTTTCTCATAATTTTTTTAAATGTTGTATCAAGATTTTAGACATCTAGATTATATTAATCTGACTTAACTATGAGCCAAACTTTATCAAGTTGTAGTTGATATTATATAGATTAGTGAGAGTATAGGTGAGAAAGTTGGTCGAAGTGTAACAAGTGTTGTCTTGCCTTAGTCATATATTGGTAGACCTATTTAAATTTATATAAACTACTTTATTGAATTTAATTTCAGTTCCAATATTATACAATGACAAATGAAAATTCTTTGTTGTGATATTCTATGTTAAAGATTTTGAAAAATAAATTAAGAAAATTTATGTATTAGTTATTAATTTGAAGTTTAAAACTAATTTCTTATTCAATTTAAGTTGAAGTTATGATTTATATCATTTTTCAACTTTCAAAATTTCAAAAATGCTTGCACAAGTGTCTTGGTTTTTGTTGTGGATGATCTTTGTCTCTCTTTTTTTTTTTTTTTTTTTTTTTTTTTTTTTGACTGAAACTTGATAGAAGAGAATGCAAATATAAATATTTTTAATAAAAATATATAGTCTTTGGTAAACAATGAAAATTTCAAAAACTATGTTATTAAAGTTGTTAGAGACTCGATCACACGGTAATCTATGAAGAAGATATGAAATGAAGAAAAGAAATTAACTTTTTAACGAGAAATATATAATAATTAAATTCTTAAAGAGATAAATAAAGTGTTAATTATAGTATTGTACATGTTGTAATTCGATATTTTTAATGAAGTGTATTTTTAATGTGTTCAGCTTTTATAATGACATATTTATAAATTTTTATATTATTTTGGAAAATATTTAGTTACCAATTATTTTATACAGAAGTTGCATTTTGTACTATTGAATAAAATATAAATTTCAAGAAAATAATGAGTAAACTATAAGCCTCTATTTAGTTTATACAAAAATTAAGTTTTAGTAATAAAAATTGATGAAATATATAATTAAAAAATTATCATTTTCCATAAAATATATGATTAAATTAATTATTAATTTTCAATGATTTTTTTTTTAAATTAAACCAAACAAGGGTGATATGCACACAATAAATATCCTTCTTGTTGACATTGAAATGGTCAATTGTACCCTCGCATTTAATTCCAAACAGGCAAGAAAAAATGGTTAGAATTTTATTTTATTTTTGGTATGAATAAAGCCGAACTTTTGCTTGATCAAAAAATTTAGATTCGACTTGACTTTTTGACTCAGATCTTTATTGAGCCGAGCCTAGAGGCCTAGACCTTTGCAGTCTCTTTGGAGTGGATGACAGATTCCCTCCACTGAATTGATTGGCCAATTGTACCCACGCAATTGGCTCCAGACAGGAAAGAAACAATTTATTCTTCACATGCCCTGAAATCTACCAACCATAATACATGATGTAATCAACCTAGGAATCTTCGCATCTTATGATGAAATAAATGTATATTTCTTTTTTTATCACCTAAATTCGTGTATTTAAATTTGAGAAAATTAGAGAAACTGCTAGACGCTACCTGATAAAGGCAATAGGGATCGTACTATGCCCATCGAGACGAGAGAAACTTCTGTAGGGCGGTCATACCACGTGATAGTGTAACCGCCTTATCAAGGTGCGCCACCTTAGCTGATGGCTCACACACCTCACGCGGTGCGATCGCCCTATTAAAGTGCGCTACCTAGGTCCGGTGGGCCACCACACACCCCTCGAGGTGTGTGGGCCACCCGCTGAGGTGGCGCCTCATTGTGGATGGTGCGACTGTCCCACTAAAGTTTTTCTCCATTGAGATAGTTGTGTGAGTCAGACATTCGTATGGACGGGTCAAGTTTTTCGCATATAAATTTGAGCTATTAAAAATAAGATTTTGATCCAAGTCAAAATTAACAATTAATTTTAACTACACATTTCAATGGATTCATAACTTTTCAACCATACATTTTATCAACTTTTATCAAAATTTACTAAAACTCTAATTTTAATCACCACCAAATAGGGGTTTTACTTTAACTTTGAGGTGATTTTAGCCTTAAATCACTTTTAAATCATATATATGGGACATGTTTGACATGATTTTTATTTTAACTTTTATTGCCTCTAGTGTTTGAAAAGTAATTTTTAAAATGATTCCCTATTTTAGAAGTATTTTTAGAGAAAGTCAAACTGAACCTGTTTCCTCTAAAAACTCTTTTAGTTAGAAAAATCACTTTCATAAAATTAGTCAAATAAGTTCAAAAATAACTTTTATTCGAGCCACATTTTTTTAAAAAAAATACATTCTTAGACAGTGATTTGATATCATTCCAACCACACATTCTTCAATAAAATAATATTACACCAAAACTCAAATTTTTTTTTTATTTTTTAACTATATATTTTCCATCAATACACTATTAAAAAATGCATATTAAAGAAAATAATGTAGCTCAAACAAGGGCTTAGATTTCAAAACTTTCTTTTTAACTTTTTAAAAGTTATGTGGGTCCATTGTAGTTTCATTGATGAACGTTATTACTTTAAAATTATCTTTTTGGGAAATTTCATGGGCCATCCATGTTTGTCCGAAGTAATGGGTTTAGTTCAGCTCCTTCAACATAAAAAAACTAAAAAATGGTATGTCATGACGTTAATGTTATAAAATCGGTAACTAAAATATGAAAAAAAAAAAAAGGGAATAAAAAGAAAGTAAATAAGCTAATTAAATAAAATATTATTTTTCATGGTTTTAGAATAATTTAAATAATTCTAAAAAAATCAGAACGTCTTATTATGTCTAACTTCATATATGCGTACTTATACTTGTAAATTTGAGGTTAGACCTTACCTTCATGCACTATTCCACGCTTTTTAAAACATTCTTAAATCAATAAAACCATAGATACAAGAAAAATTTTTCAGAACTTGTATCGACGTTGATGTGGCAAAATGTAAATGAACTATTTTTTTTCATTTTTTTCTATATTTCAATGATGTCACGCCAAATATTGTCCACAAGGTTTTTTCGTAAAAAAAATTCTGTAATTGTAAAATCTTCTTAAATAGTATTAATAATATAATAATCATTTACTTAACTAACTACATTAACAAATTGTCAAGTGGGAGTACACTGAATTTGAGTGTGAGACCCGTGTTCGTGTGCTGAGCCACAAATTTGTTTCCTAAACACTTTTCTCAAACTTCAATTCAACTTTTATTCTGTGGTACCTAAAAACTAAGATATTATTACCACACGTTTTGCAATAATGTGTCCCGAAATATCCTACAAAAGTGGGCCCCTTGTCATGCCAGCCTGGAATTTTGTCGTATCTTTCTTATATATTCCCCGCGTTCAATTCATAGGCAGTGACGCCCGGGTTTCCTCTCTTTTCTCTTACCACAAAATTATAAAAGCCTCTGTCATTTGCCCAGTCCAAACTTAGCAACACCCTAGTAAGCAAAATAAACATTACATATATAATTCTCTTCTCTGCTTCTTGATCATAATTTTCATGGATTCGTTAGATTCATGTTCTGATCCAAATCCGTTCGGCGTTTCCGACATGCCTGAGATTACATCGTTGAAGGGACATTCTGACGAAGAGGTTATTTTGGCGTCGAGTCAGCCCAAGAAACGTACAGGAAGGAAGAAGTTCAAGGAAACTCGCCACCCGGTTTATCGAGGCATTAGACAGAGGAATTCAAACAAATGGGTATGCGAGTTACGCGAACCGAGCAATCAGAAAAGGATATGGCTAGGAACTCATCCTACTGCAGAAATGGCAGCACGTGCTCATGATGTTGCTGCATTAGCATTCAGAGGTCAGTTGGCATGCCTGAATTTCGCCGATTCTGTCTGGTGCTTGCCGGTGCCGGTTTCTAAAGATGCTAAGGATATTCAGAAGGCGGCAATAGAGGCGGCAGAACTGTTTAGGCCGTTCGAGGGGGGTGGTGGTGGTGGGACAATAATGCAAGAAAATGAGATGAATTCTGAGGGGGTTTCAAGTGGCAACTTGACAACATTGGACACAACAAAAACACTATCAGATTGTGATATTTTTAATATGAGTGAGGATTCAGAGACAAATATGGAAGGAGTTTTGCTGTCACCACAACCTCGTTTAGACTACAGTTTCGGCTGGGATGATTTGGAAAACGATGATGCTGAGATGGTGCTTTGGAGCTATTCTATTTGATGTCATAGTAGTTTTGGATAGTAAAGTGCATAAAAACACAAAAATAAAGAAACAAGATATAGTATATGTGTGTATTCCAGTTTGATTGAATAGAGTGTAGGTGAGTCAAGTTGATCTGGTATTTGGTTTTGAAGTCCAATCACCCAGACGGCTTACTATAAGACAAAAAGTAAGAGGAAAAAATATCAAGCGGATAAGAGTGCAAGAACTTTGGATAGAATGCTTTGACTGTATTGATTTTCTTGTATTTTCCTTTGTACAGTTACAATATATATGAAGAATGGAAAAGAATATTGGCTTAAAACATAAACTATACAGCTGTCAAATTTATGTTGC